AGAGGCCGTGCATGAGGGAGAAAAGAGGAATGAATTTGAAAGCAATTTAAAAGAATCGTGGACATAAAAATATCAACATACAAACCACAACAAAGGCAAATACAAATACGTTTAACCAGCGTATCGACAATAACAGAAACCTCACTAGTCCAATTTGTGCAGAAATCAAAATGAAGCTGTTGTTATGACTCACCTTGTATTTTCGACACCACTTTGTTTCCGCACTCCAGACCTACTCCGGGTTGTTCTGCGTCGTGATCAACCCCTTCAGGCGCCTCCCTCTCTACACGGAGGAGGTTGTGGCCATGTACCGTGGCAAGAGGCGTCAGGAAATGCCGCCTCACTTGTTCTCTGTGGCTGACAACGCCTACCAGAACATGCTGATCGGTATGTGTACCTGTGACGAGAAAGACAGGGAGAAAATTCATTCTAGAGGATCTACATATACCCCAACAAACTCAAATCTCATCTCGTAACAATGAAAGTAAACTCAGAATAAAAAGTTCAAGTAAAAGTTTGAATGTTCAACGTTTGTTGATCCAACATTACATCAGCTGAAAAAATTCTGTCAGGTGCAGCATTTTCATCTAAATCTTATTTAAATCGATTTGGATTTATTAGATGGGACATAAGGTTCTGGAAATTAACAGTGCTTAAATTCGTTGCAATATGGGAACCGAAAATATTTTCGCTTTCAAACTTTCATATCAAATTTAATTTGTGCTAACGATAACTATTGCACCATCTTTAGACGATATAGCATAAATATGTTGTATATTGACTCACAAGGACTACAAGCTAACGCGGTAGTCTTACTCAGATACAAGGCTTAATCACTAACAATTTGTCTTCGTTAAATAAGGATACCAAGACCACCATCCAGACATCTACTAGAAGAAACTTATGCTTGCATACTTTCCATTTGTCAATTCGTTTTGAACTCTACTCACAACCATAGAGCTTCACATATACCAGTGCTAACTTAGACTGTATAGAAAACCATCGCCACACTATATGTGTGTATCTGTGTATCTGTATAGCTGTATTGCCATAACACACCAGCACGCGGTGCGGAACCAACTGGTTATATATCACATTAACCGACCTGTCAGTCTAATCTTAACTCATCTAACTGCAAGTATTGTTTAAAGCTATCTAGTAAGGATCCTCACATTAACGAGATACAGAATTCAAACCTGCGGTGAGGACGACATTCTGACGACTTGTTTTTTTCTCTCCTGACCGCTCAACCTGCAGACCACCAGAACCAGTCCATGTTGATCACGTGAGTACTGCCTCTTGCATACTTCCTACCCGTGGTTTATTGTATTAACCACTTGTTAACGACGCCTTCTTCTTTCCTTCCCCACAGGAATGAAATCAGGCGTAGGTAACCAATCCATCCTGATCACGTAAGTAAACCGCCCAAGCCGCCTCACCGTGAGATGTGTCTTCGAATCCCTCCGCACCAGACGACAATTTGCTTCGTTTAAACTTTGCGTTAATGTTTCAGCATTAAACCGTCCTCTTGCGCCTTGTACGACCAATCGGGACAGCCCGACGATTACCGATAAAAACCGACGACAGCCGATGAAGGACGACGATAGCCGAAAAGCTGCCGACGACTACCGACACAAACCAGCTACTGTCGATCGATAAAGAACAACCCATGCACAATTGACCTGGGAACAGTAATGAATTCTAGGAAATGACCATGTACTACGAAAAATTCCAGGAAAGACATACCACGACAGCTGTTAAGGCATCCTTAAAGGCAAGATCAACGACAAGCAGTTAACGATTAACTTGGTACGTTTGCTGCCTTCCAGGAAATGACAATGAAGTACGACCTGCCTCGGAACAGACAGACAGGGACATTAAAGGCAAAGCTGTTGACCTAACGACAATCGCCTCCATCAACTATTGCCCTTGTTGTTATTATTTGTTGCAATCGGTATATCAAATTTCAGTTTTGTTCGTGGTGTGAATAGAGTTAGTACTTAATCCGCATAACAATTCTGATTTTCCCAGTGGCGAGTCTGGTGCCGGTAAGACTGAGAACACGAAGAAGGTTATCTCCTACTTCGCCCTGGTCGCTGCCATGGGCGGACCGAAGAAGGACTTAGCCGAGGGCGAAAAGAAGATCACCCTTGAGGACCAGATCGTGCAGACTAACCCTGTACTGGAGTCCTTCGGTAATGCCAAGACTGTCAGGAACAACAATTCCTCCCGTTTTGTAAGTATATTTTTTTAAATGTTCAAACCAATAATATGTTCAAACCAATGACAGGAAAGTAAAAGTAACATCTAAGCAAAAATAACATCTAAAATCAGCGTGTGGTGTAAGAAACATATGTATGGTGTTGATAAGATTTACTTTCCCTCGATTGTACTTTATCTTTGCGATTTGTTGTTATTTGATAGATCTATGAATAACAACGTTAACACAACACAACCTCTACCCAACAGGGTAAATTCATCAGGATCCACTTCAACACCAAGGGCAAGTTGGCTGGTGCCGACATCGAGTCCTGTGAGTACAGTACTAATTTTGTATCCATACCATGGTTAAAATGTACACCTTTTCTGGAGTAGTTTGCACTGTTTAAAGCCGGTGCATATCCTGTGGTTAACTGGTTGTGGACGTTTCATCCTCTAGATCTGTTGGAGAAGGTGCGTGTGATTGAGCAGCTGCCTGGTATGGAGCGTGGCTACCATATCTTCTACCAGCTGCTGTCCAGCGGCCTGGCCGACGTCACAAGTAAGTCAGTCATTCCTTAGCATCTAAACCACACTACAGCCTTCATCAGGTATTGAATGACCATTCACGTGACTTCATAGGCACGTAACGTCAGAAATTTGTCAACATTTTGATTTGTTTTGTTACAGAGATGTTGATGGTCACTGACGACGCCCACGACTACCGCTTCTTGGAGAAGGGTGAGAAGACCATCAAGAACGTGGACGACAAGGAAGAGATGGTGTTGACGGACGAGGCCTTCGACGTGCTGGGATTCACCCAGGACGAGAAGACGAACATCTACAAGCTCACGGGAGGCCTGTGCCACTTCAGCAACATGAAGTTCAAGGCCAAGCCCAGGGAGGAGCAAGCCGAGTGTGACGGCACCGAGGGTAAGAAACTGAATGTAGAAGTTAGACTGAGAAGATACTGACCCTATTCTTATCTGCAAATCTTCATGCACGTACCCTTCGTCACGTCTTGTGCCCCATCCTCACCTTGAGGGGCGGAGACTACGGTTGCATACAGCATCAACCTCCTACATCCTCTACCCTCTGCGTAAATTCTTCTGCTAGAGAACAGTCATTTTCCCAATCTTCCGTGTTGTCTCCCCCTCCCGTTGCCACAGATGTTTTTCGCCTTGGTCTGTACAATAATTATATTAAATGGAAAACAACATCTTAGGTTTTAACGCTTTATTTCAGCCGCTGATAAGATGGCGTACCTGTACGGCATCAACAGTGGTGAGCTGCAGAAGGGTCTGCTCAAGCCCAGGGTAAAGGTCGGCAACGAGTGGGTGGCAAAGGGCCAGAACTGCAACCAGTGCATCTACGCCGTCGGTGCCCTGGGCAAGGGTGTCTATGACAGGCTCTTCAAGTTCCTGGTCAAGCGTTGTAACGACACTCTGGACACCAAGATGAAGAGGGAGAACTTCATTGGTGTGCTGGATATTGCCGGCTTCGAGATTTTCGAGGTGAGCCGTTTATTTTACGTCCATGTGCATGACCTTGTTCATATCAAGTGTGGCATTTCTAAAACTTACAATATCTACAAACTCTCTCCATAGTTCAACAGCTTTGATCAGCTGTGCATCAACTACACCAACGAGAAGCTGCAGCAGTTCTTCAACCACCACATGTTCGTGGAAGAGCAAGAGGAGTACAAGAGGGAGGGAATCGAGTGGGAGACCATCGATTTCGGTATGGACTTGGCCAAGACACTGGCTCTGATCGAGAAGGTGAGAAAAGCGGTCAGATGCGGGCGAAAAGTCGCAACGTTACAACTTGTATGCATTGAACATCATGTGCGACATGATTGTGAATCGGAAGAGTCCATTATCGATATCAAAATGTCAGCAACTTCTCTATTTCTACAGACTTTCATTTCTGATACTATCCCTGTCATTACTTCTCATATAGCCCCTGGGTATCCTGGCTATTCTGGAGGAGCAGACTATGTTCCCGAAGGCCAGCGACAAGACCCTCATCGACAAGCTTCGCGACCAACACTTGGGCAAGCATCCTAGCTTCCTGAAGCCGAAAAAGCCCAAGCAGCCCAAGTACGAGGGTCACTTCGATCTGGCTCACTACGCCGGCAACGTGACATACAACATCTGCGGCTGGCTGGAGAAGAACAAGGACCCCATGAACGAGACTGTGGTCGCCTGTTTCAAGAGGGCCACCAACGACCTGCTGAAAGAGCTCTGGGCTGACTTCGCCACTGCCGAGGATGCAGATGGTTAGTCGTACACACAGTCTGCCCTTACATTGAATATCACTTGTCCTGTCAAGTAATATAATGTAATGTCACATAAACCTATGATATAATATAATATAAAATCTGGCAGACGCTGTTATAAACCTACGGATACTTGACCACTGCACGGTATCATTGTCTCTCTGAGGACAGACGATTGCCAAAATATAGCCTTCTTGCATCCAGTGATGTCAAAGAAATGTGAACTTACTGTATTTATGTCGTTTTCGATAGCTGGACAAAAGAAGCAGGCCGGTGGAAAGGGCAAGAAGGGAGGAGCTTTCCAGAGTGCCTCTGCAACCCACAGGGTACGATACAAATACCCCTTTGTCTGTTTTATCACTGTAAAATGTATGCTCATATTTGAAACATTTGAAACCCATGCCCGAAGGCCAATTGCAAGGGAACAGATACTTTAACGAAAAAGGTACAAACAAAAGATAGATCTACATACTATTTACTATACTATACTATACTATACTATACTATACTATACTATACTATACTATACTATACTATATATCTACATACAAAACTAAATATATCCCCTATTTCACACAGTAGCCATAGTTGACACGATGGGACACGTTCTCCCGTTTCTAACCCCTCGCTGGTCTATCTGTCCTGACTACAGGACCAGCTGGCTAGGCTGATGGCCACTCTGCACACCACCTACCCCCACTTCGTGCGTTGTATCATCCCCAACGAGCTGAAGACTCCTGGTCTCCTGGACAACCCCTTGGTTATGCACCAGCTGACTTGTAACGGTGTACTCGAGGGTATCCGTATCTGCCAGAAGGGCTTCCCAAACAAGATGATCTTCAAGTATGTATCAGTTCTAAAGACAATAATCAACACATTTGCTAATCTAGAGAATGACACACTTACCTAAGGGGTATGGCCGGTTTGTACATGGGCATACATAAAGTACTATCGCAGTGGAACCCGCTGCCACCATGTACAGTAGGGGTAGCTTGAAACAATGTTAAGAGATTATAGCTTTAAGCAATGTTCATTGGTTAGGTGTAACAAGTCGTTCGGTGTAATGTAGCCAGCTGCCTCCGCGCCGCGTGCCTTCGAAGCTGGTGTGTTGCACCGAAGAGCGGTTATACTGGTTATACAGATACATGTACAGATACAGAAGCTGGTGTGTTACACAGAAGGGCAGTTATACCGGCGTTACAAATACAGGCAGATACAGATACATAAGTGTTTTCCCTTGTTCACAGGGAGTTTAAGCAGCGCTACAAGCCCCTGGACCCGGTGATGTCCAGGCAGGTCGAAGATGACCGTGAATGCTCCGTCAAGCTTCTGGACCAATCGGGTCTGTCCAAGGAGTGCTACGGCGTGGGCAAGACGAAGATCTTCTTCAAGGCCGGCCAAGTGGCCAAGCTTGAGGACATCCGTGACGCCAAGCTGGCTGTGATCGTGACAACGGTTCAGCAGCGCGTCAGGGGCAAACTGCAGCGTATCGTCTATGAAAAGCTCAAGGTGCAGAGGTAAGGACTGTGGTTACTTGTCCACATGGTTACGTCCCGCAATACAGAGGTGCTAGGTACTAAAACTGTTTGTAGGCCATTTTCAATAGTTCAAACTTCAGCGCATCGTCTATGAAAAGCACGAGGTACAGAGGTAAGGGAACTTGTTCAGATGGCTACGTCGGACAACACTGAGATGCTAGGTATTGAAACATTTCCAATTGTTAAGTCTCTGTATGGTTCGCTCATCTTAATTTTAAACTCACCTATAACGAGATGGAGCAAAGCAATATCAATTAACCTTTGCGTAGCGTCCCGTCCCGACGCTAGGGAGGCCCTGAAGATGCTGCAGCGTAACGTGCGCAACTGGATTAGCCTGCGCACTTGGGAGTGGTGGAAGCTGTTCTGCACCATCAAGCCCCTGCTGTCCCACTCCCAGAGCGAGGAAGAGCTCCGTGCCAGGGTTCATAACTAGTGTTTTTTGGTTTGTATATCAGGGAAGCCCTGAAGATGCTGCAGCGTAATGTGCGTAACTGGATCAGCCTGCGCACCTGGGAGTGGTGGAAGCTGTTCTGCACCATCAAGCCCCTGCTGTCTCAGTCCCAGGGCAGATGTGGAGCTCCGTGCCACAGCAATGTCTCTAAACCTTTACGTTAATTCTCGTTCCAAACCTAGGGAGGCCCTGAAGATGCTGCAGCGTAACGTGCGCAACTGGATCAGCCTGCGCACCTGGGAGTGGTGGAAGCTGTTCTGCACCATCAAGCCCCTGCTGTCCCAGTCCCAGGGCGAGGAGGAGCTCCGCCTGAAAGAGGAGGAGCTGACGGAGGTGAAGGAGGGCGTGGAGAAGGAAGAGACACTGATGACCGACATCCAGACGAAGCTCACCGCAGTCGAGAAGGAGAAGAACGAACTCGCCTCGAAACTGTCTAGTGTAAGTAGTGCTTGGTTTGGTTTTTCTGCAATGCCCACGATCATAATAATGATCATACTCATACTCATTTACACTTGAGCGAAGTGAGGAAAGTCGTATAAACTGCCTTTCCCAACTGTACAAGGTTGGTGACTTGTCAGGACTCGAACCCGGGACCTCTTGGTTCTGAGCCGAATGCTCTGCCGTTGCACCAAACAACCCCACAACTTGGACTTGGACATCAGATAAGAGGATGCCAACTAAGGAAGCTGGATCAAGTATAAGGTCCAACCAAAAGGGCAAAAAAGGGAAGATTTGGGCCTTCTTGTCAAGCCACTGCACTAATGTAGGTGTCAAACAAACCTAAAGCGAAGAGAAGCATGTGGTTGATGGCATTTGAGCACCATGTTCCCTATACATGTCAAAAATCATAAGTGCAGTTCATGTTCTAAAATGGATCTTATTATCGTATTGACAACTATGATTGCTACTAGTAAGCTAATGGATGATAATAAGGCTATTGTAGTGATGTATCTACCTTCATGCCCAACCTTGCTTGTTGGCCACAGGAACAATCAGAAACAAGTGACATCGCGGAGAAGGCAGAAGGCCTGATCAAGAACAAAGCTGACCTCGAGCAGAAGATTGTGGACTACAAGGAGCTGCTGCAAGACGAGGAGGCCAAGAACTCCGAGCTCAGCGCAGCCAAACGCAAGGTAAATTCATTGTTTGATTTATTGAAATTGCAACAGTGCAATACACGCGGAACAGAGGCAGCTGTTGCTGGTGTTGTGTCCCGCACATAGAAACGAATATTGGACAGACAATACTCATTTTCACTTGAGTCTAGTGGGGAAAGTCGTAAAGTACCTTTCCCAAGGGCACAAGATCGGTGGTATGTCAGGACTCGAACCCGGGACCTCTTGGTTCCGAGTCGCGCACGCTGCCGTTGCGCCACACGACCCCACAATAGCCTAGATGCATTATACTTTTCTTCAAGTTGTTCATTGGTTGGAAATATGTTTCTATTGTCATAACACTATACGTGTCGTTACTAAAAGGTCGAGGGTGAGGTGGATAACCTGAAGAAGGACCTGGAGGAGCTGGAGAAGACTCTGCAGAAGGTGGAGAAGGAAACCCGCGGCGTTGAGAGCAAGGTTCGCTCCACCGGAGATGAGCTGCACGCTCAGGATGACCAGATCAGCAAGCTGTCTAAGGAGAAGGCTAAGCTGGAACAGCTCAACGCAGTAAGTATTGCCCCTATTTCGTGATAGTTATCTGTATCTGTAAACTCTTCTTTTGTACTGTCTTCTTTCTTTCACTGATCACAACGACCTACCACATATCATATGATGACAGGTTTTCAAGAAATTGAAAAGTGTTTGATGCCAGACCTGACCAATGGAATGTAAAAAAGCTCAGAAACCTAATAGCTGACAAGTTACAATCTACGGATCCATAGTTCAATGAGTGATCCTTCTTGTAAATATTGGTTATTCTCGGGGCAAGTCAAACAATTTTTTTGTATCCAAATGTTTTTATTTCACTCACATTTTTCTTATAATTCTTCATGAATACAGACCACCCTGGAAGATCTGCAGAAGGAAGAGGACAAGGTCAACAACCTCAGCAAGCTCAAGGCCAAGCTCGAGCAGCAACTGGATGACGTAAGTGTACCAAAGACTTGAAATGGATAAGTAGCACATAGCAAATTCTTTATGATCATTAGCGTACATCATATAAGAGTTTGGTTTGTAGTAATGGTTCATGTTTTCTTTAATCTTGGCTACAGCTAGAAGAGAACCTGGAACGCGAGAAGAAGGCGCGTGCCGAGGCCGAGAGGCTGAAGAGGAAGCTGGAGGGTGACCTGAAGGCCGCACAGGAGACTTTGGGAGGTCTGGAGAACGAGACGTCCGACCTGACGAACCGCATTCAGAAGTATGGAAACATTTTTGAGTTGACACAACAATCATATATATTACAATGTAGGTTTGTACATAGATCTAGTTTTGCTGAATATAGCTTTTCAACGTCGTAAAGCGTTCGCTGATTCATATGTTCACATTACAGGAAGGAGTTCGAAATCAAGCACCTCGAGGGTCAAGTGGAAGATAATCAGGGTGCGGTTGCGAGTATGCAAAGGAAAATCAAGGAAGCGCAGAGCCGCATCGATGAGCTTGAGCAGGAGCTCGAGGCCGAGAGGAACGCCCGTGGCAAGGTTGATAAGCAGAGGGCTGACCTGGCTCGCGAGCTCGAGGATCTGGGAGACCGTCTGGAGGAGGCTGGTGGCGCCACCGCCGCCCAGGCTGAGGTCAACAAGAAGCGCGAAATCGAGCTGCAAAAACTCCGCCGCGAACTGGAGGAGGCGAACATGCAGCATGAGGCCACCGTCGGCGCGCTCAGAAAGAAACTGGCAGACGCCACCTCCGACTTAACGGAGCAGGTGGAGAACCTGCAGCGTATCAAGGGCAAACTGGACAAGGAGAAGACCACCCTGAAGATGGAAGTCGACGACCTCGCCTCTAACGTTGAGGCCATTACAAAGGGCAAGCTGAACGTGGAGAAGGCAAACCGTTCCCTCGAGGAGCAGATCGCTGAGGCCAACATCAAGATCGAGGAGTCAACCAGGACCGTGCAGGAACTTACCACCCTGAGGCATCGCCTGGAGTCTGAAAACTCCGAAATCGCTCGCCAGCTGGAGGATACCGACAACCAGTGCGCCCAGCTGTCCCGCGCAAAGAGCATGCTTTCTCAGCAGCTCGAGGAGCTGAAGCGCCAGCTTGAGGAGGAGACAAAGGCCAAGAACCACCTTACCCACCAGCTGCGTGCTGCTCAACATGATTGCGACAGCCTCAAGGTTCAAATTGAAGAGGAACAGGAAGGCAAGTCTGAAATCCAGCGCGCCCTGTCCAAGGCCAACACAGAAGTTACTGCCTGGCGTACCAAGTACGAGACTGACGCCATCCAGCGCGCTGAGGAGCTAGAGGATGCTAAGAAGAAGCTGGCTGCTCGCCTGCAGGATGCTGAGGAACAGGTGGAGGCCGCCAACGCCAAGTGCAGCTCTCTGGAGAAGGCCAAGAACAGGCTGGCTGGCGAGGTCGAGGACCTCATGATCGACGTTGAGCGGGCCAACGCCGCGGCAGCTCAGCTGGAGAAGAAGCAGCGTCTGGTTGACAAGCAGATCGCCGAGTGGAAGACCAAATGCGAGGAGATCACTATCGAGCTGGAGACCTCTACCAAGGAGGCCCGTGCTTATGCCAACGAGCTGTACAAGCTGAAGGGACAATACGAGGAGACTCTGGAGTCCCTGGAAACACTCAAGAAGGAAAACAAGACTTTGGCAGGTACGTTTTGGGATAATCTATTGCCCTATAACATTTCCTATGGTATATTTTGAATGTGGCAACCTGATCCCTTTAAATGTGTAATCAGATGATTATGATGAATAATAATGGCTTTGATGCCAAATTGAGCCTGCATTGTTTCTCATTATAGACGAAATCCGCGATCTGTCCGATCAGCTTGGCGAGGGCGGCAAGAGCGTCCACGAGCTGGAAAAGGCCAAGAAGCGTCTGGAGGTGGAGAAGGAGGAACTGCAGACCGCCCTCGAGGAGGCAGAGGGTGCACTGGAAGTGGAGGAGGGCAAGGTCCTGCGTGTCCAGCTCGAGTTGTCTCAGCTCAAGGCTGACATCGACCGCAGACTGGCCGAGAAGGACGAGGAGTTCGAGAACACACGGTGAGTGTATTGTTCTTTAGACTTAATTTAAGATTAGTTTCACATGACTATACCACTGTAGGAAACTATCTGAAACTTTAAAATGAAATGCAATATTCACTCTCTTTTAGTAAGAACCACCAGAGGGCCTTGGATGCACTGCAGACTACCCTTGATGTAGAGGTCAAGGGCAGGAACGAGGCCGTCAGGACCAAGAAGAAGCTGGAGGCCGATGTGAATGAAGTTGAGGCTGCCCTGGAGAACGCCACCAGAGCCAACAACGAGGCCAGGAAGACCATCAACAAGCTCCAGATGCAGATTCAGGAAGTCCAAACCCAAATTGATGATGAACAGAGGCAACGTGAGGAGGCCCGCGAGCATCTCGCCATGTCCGAGCGCCGCTCCAGCATGCTCCAGACTGAACTTGAAGAGCTTCGCAATGCCCTGGACCAGGCCGAGAGGGCTCGCAAGATGGCCGAGTCTGAGCTCATGGAGTCTTCTGACCGCGTCGGCGAGCTGTCTGCACAGAACTCGTCTCTAGCGGGTCAGAAGAGGAAGCTGGAGGGTGAGATCCAGACCCTGCAGGCTGAGCTGGACGAGGTTATGGCTGAGCACAGGCAGACCGAGGAGAAGGCAAAGAAGGCCATTGCAGATGTGAGTCAACTGCAGTGCCTGCTATTTGTTTGCATGGAAAGGTTTCAACATGCTTATGGACAATAATGATGGCAATATGAAGCTAAGCGGAAAGTTGATGTCGGAATTGTTTCAGGGGTTAACTTCATTTCAAGTCGGGTTGATCTTGTATTTTCCTTTTCGTCGACAGGCCACCCGCATCGCCGAGGACCTGCGCAATGAGCAGGAACACACCGCTCACATCGAGAAGACCAGAAAGAACCTGGAGGCCTCCATCAAGGACCTGCAGAGGAGACTGGACGAGGCCGAGGCCTTGGCCATGAAGGGTGGCAAGCGCGCACTGCAGAAGCTGGAGGCCAGGGTAGGGAATGTGGATTTTGTTGTGACGAATAACGTTTTAGGAGGTAGCACCCCCTCCCCCTATACACTAATTCGCTGTGTATAAAGTAAAGTAACTACACCCTGGTTCTTAGCCGCCAGCACTGTAAACAATCCAGAGTTTTTTCGTTTGTTCTTTTCAAACATAGGTCCGTGATCTCGAGTCTGAGTTGGACTCAGAGACGAGGCGCCACCAGGAGACGCTGAAGAGCCTGCGCAAGAACGAGCGCCGTCTCAAGGAGCTGAGCTTCCAGGCCGACGAGGACCGCAAGAAGGAGGAGCGCATGCAGGAGATGGTCGAGAAGCTGCAACTGAAGATCAAGACCTACAAGAGACAAGTGGAGGAGGCTGTACGCACATTTTCATTTTTGTATTTCCACTTACAAATACATTTGTAGCGTTGGTCGATATGAGTGTAAGGCAGGTCACAACACTTATGGAATTTTAAGTATGTTGTTCTATAGCTATAGCTTCTGATTTCTGATTCAACGCCACATGCCAACACATGCCCGCGCATGTTTTCTCGCCCTTACAGGAGGAAACAGCTAACGTCAACCTGGCCAAGTGGCGCAAGACCCAGCACGATCTGGAGGATGCCCAGGAGAGGGCCGAGATGGCCGAGTCCGCTCTGGGCAAGATGCGCGCCCAGCACCGCTCTGCCGGCCCCAACCTGGTAAGACGATAGCACGAAGAGTTGGGATTTCGTTGTTTCTTTGCACTACAATTATATCTATTGCCTCAATTATATTTCTGGCATTATTAGCTTACGTCAGATGAGTTCTCATGCACTACTTGTTGTTTTGTATTGCAGTAAATCCTTTGCAACGTTCCTTGCAAAGCGCTGTGAAGAGCACGGACAACAGATCGTCACAGCAACTAGTTCGTTCTCTCTTTCAGCGACCCAGTAGTACTAGTCTTCTTCTTCTTTGCGACTTGTTTCCTTTGTCCAGCGACATTTCCCACTCAGTGGCCCCACGCACGCACACTGACACAGCAACTGACTGGGGAATGTCGCCGGATGACGTTCGGAACAAGTGTTAAAGACGTGCAACATTAGATTAAACCACGTTAATGTCATCAACTGTACCATGTACAACATCTTGTTAACTCTCTGTTCTGTTACCATAAGTCGATGAATGGCATGCCAGATTTTCAACACGGCTCTGGCCTCGATGACTTCTTGATAGAGCTAGTAACAAGTCCGTAAATAGGCATTTTCTAACGTAGTAAGTAGACCATCATTTTCCTGTGGTGTGAACGGCCCAAGACTGAGAAAGAAAAGCTGTCGGAAACAAGAAGTACATGGATTTCTAGGCTGACCTAAGTAATATTCCTGTCGAGGGATAATAAGACGTTCAGTTGTATGATTGTGCATCTCTTCCGGGACCACTATGAGTAGTCTTAGATTTTATGTTTGTGTGACTTGCGACGTGTATGGGTGCTTCGTTGCATTTGATACTGATTAAACTTCTACAAAAAGACAAAAAATGGCTCATCTTTCTCGTTGGTTTGTGTCTTAGCAATACTTGTACATGTTGTTAATACGATATTAATATAGTAGACTACCACTTTTCTGTTGGTTGGTTGTATACATGTAGTTCTGGGATCCTTTAGTACAATATTAATCAAAAAGAAAGTAATATCACTAAAGAAGATTTGACAAGATAAGACAAGATGAACAACATAAGCTAGGGACTATAAAGCAGAATGGATCCGACATACGTAAATCTACAGGAACCACCAACACCCCAGAACAACTGCACGTAGGCGTGCCATGAGAAGCGTTTAGACGAGAAGGTCAGAAATAACCGTCAACGCTGCCAAACTACTAGCCTCCACCAGACTCTTTTGCAGGCTGAATAAATAGTAGACATCGACCTGAAAAGAATGTAGCTAGCCAGCGGAGTTGTCCGGTCATAGATGGTCCAGCTTGCTCTATGCAGTTTGCTCTATCGATGGCCAACTCCGCCGGCCAACTACATTCTTTTTAGGACAATTTCTACCATTCATTCAGCCTGCAAAAGAGTCTGGTGGAGACTGCCAAACCACAGACCAGATTTAGACAGACAGATGTGGATCGACCGTGCACATTCTCAGACAACCGCAGTGGCGCTGTGTTGCAGAGGGAATGCCAACGGCAGCAGACCTGCCAGTAGTAACTTCTATTTCTGCACACATCCATCAAAACGCCAGATGGATAGACGGTTAACGTTACTAGGTACCCGGCACCGGACGACATTGTCCTGATATAGAAAGATTTGTAGTAACCTGGCACCCTTGACTTTGATATGATATGCCTGGTATGTATTCCTACGCATTATTGTAGACAGCAAACGTCATTGGATCCCAGATGAAAATATTGGAAGTATTACACCAACTACTATCTGTTTTGCTGGTGCCTGAAACCCGCAAATACTATTGTGTGAATTTATAGTGGGACTCAAACCATTGATATATACTATGAAAGAGGTCGCTAATTCACTCAATTACGCTATGAACCGTCTGTCTAGTCAGCTTAAGTCAAGCACAAATCTACTGGAGCTATTTAGAACCTCCTTAGCTTTAAGCCAGTTGAGAAACAACAGTAAAAGGCTAAAAGAGACCTCCAGCAATGCAAGAGCAACGCTGTGAGCTTTTTGTTTTACCTTTCAGTCACTGACAATGGCCCTGGGCATTAATATTGTACAACCAGGCTGTAGAACCATTAGGAACACAACCGGGCTGTAGACCCATAAGTAACATAACTGTTGATACTTAATGATAGTAAAAAAAGAGACTTTGTACTCACTCTGCCCTTGCATCAGGTCCTGGAGGCAGTGTTTCATCTTCGACCTCTTCATCATCACACCATTGTCCTCTCCACTTTCACTTGCCAGGGGATGTACTGACGAGTTTGAACTGTGGAAACGACAGCTACATCCTCCACGTGATACAGATGGTACAGATAGAGGTGTAGCCCATCGAGTCGTTGGAAATGTTGCAACCAAAGCTGAACCAGATAGTTTTCGAAATGATGAGTTTGTTGACCTTCATCTTCATCCCTCCGGGAATTGTTACCGATGAACCTGACTCAGTGATGCAGGAATTCGATGCATGTTTTCTTTTGCCGGAGAACTATGTGGTCGTCCTAAAAGTAGGCGCATTTTGGAGTATTAAGTTGTGATTAATATTTATGTGGGCTGGGAGTTTCTACACATTTTTCTAATTCCAAACTAGAACGTGAATGACACACCCGGACACGTTAAGTAGGTATCGTAAAATTGTAGAGAAATGATTTTGATATGGCTTGTTAACTGAACGATTGGCTATTTGAGATACTGTCATTCGCGTTTGCAGTCTCTTACATTATGTGAAAGTATTCGGCAACATTATCTTTTCCATTTATAAACTGGAAGACACAAGTTCAAGTGTCATATTCACTCATACTGGCACGTAGCGTACAAATCTACACTTCGAACCCGTTTTACTCTTACCCAAGTCCACAAAGAAAACAATAGTTCAACTCTAGTTCAAGCTGGTTACCGAAAAGCAGAAAGAAACAATGCCCCGTTCAGTTACTGCTAACATGGCTAATGTCTGCCAATTACAGAAACCTGCAGAAAACGACTATTTGATTCTTCATGACCTCCCGGAGAGAAGTTTACGATCAAGGTTAAACATTATATACAGCACCTGCTCCTCAAAATAACCAGTGGAATAGTAGAAGTCCAATGTCATGTTACATCTATCGTCCAATCAGAGCTTATACTATAGAAATCGTGCAATGGTCTTGCAGATTGTAGAGGATAATGATTACTCTTGCTATTTAAGCGGTTATAAAGGCAGCCGTCTGTGCCGTGCTATTCCGACAGCTTTCAACCATAAGGTAGGTAAGCCCTCTCCACCACACCATTTCACGGTAAATATGCTGCCAACCCTCCTGTTTAAGCTTTGAATGTCCGTCTTTGTACTCGTGTGCTATAATTCATATGCAATGTTGGTGTATGAATGAGGCTTTCTGTAGATGCACTTTTGAGTCAATTCACAACCCCATAGCATGTTGTTGAACTTCATCGAAAACTGGGTTAGCAATATACAGTATGCCAATAAAATGGTTTGGCATCAACTGGCAAAAGAAAACATGTTTCGAATTCCTCTCATTTGACCCTGCTCTCTGCTGCTTTTTTTTTCTCCAGGGCCAGAGCTGTAGCTCGTCGGACTCATCTTCTGTCTCTCCCGTTCAGCCCAGTCGGCGTGCCACTCCTTCCTGCAGGATCCTTAGCCAAGAGGAACCAGAGCCAAGATGCCGCCCAAATCCGACAAGATTTCCGACGACCCTAAGGTCTACATCTTCGGTGACACCAAGTTGCTGATGGAGCTTCGCTCCGCGCCTTACGATCCCAAGAAGAACGTCTGGGCTCCCGATGAGAAGGATGTCTTCATCGCTGTGGAGATCAAGGAAGAGAAAGGTGGCAAGGTCACGGTTCAGCTGCCTAAAGGACAGGTATGTTAAAGTAAAAACTGACAAGAAAACATTCCTATTACTGTGTAAAACTGGTGTGCAACTACACAACTCTTTGTTGGCTTTTGGCTAAAATACAACCATTCAAACTTTATTTTTAATTGTACCAAATTTGGTACCTCCCTGACATTGCACGAGACTGAACAAAGACTGAGAATAATATCTGTAGCAGTATCTGCCGTATCAGATGACTTCCGAGTATCATTTTCGTATTTCCGCTGAGATGTAAGGTAGAGTTCGCATGAAAATAGTCCGAAGTGACCCAGAGGTCAAGCGGGATATCAGATGACAGTTATCCTACCACAGTGACTTCCAAAAAAAGTACAAGGGCAAAATGTAGTACAGTCGTAAAGACTTTGGATTTGGATCATTAAACGAAATACAAATTGTAAAGCATATGTGCAACCAGTCTCTTAATAAAGATTTTTACCAACTGAACTGATGTGTTACTAATTTAATGCCTTTTAAATCTTAACTGTACACAATTGGATTTGGATCATTAAACGAAATACAAATTGTAAAGCGTATGTGCAACCAGTCTCTTAATAAAGATTTTTACCAACTGAACTGATGTGTTACTAATTTAATGCCTTTTAAATCTTAACTGTACAAAATTGTTTGGATCCATTACTAGAACGATCAAATAGACGAATGAATTGCTTCTTTCTTTTCTTTCTTTTCTATCCAAAGACCAAGGAAGTTGTCAAGGACAAGTTGGTGATGATGAACCCTCCCAAGTTCTACTGCTGCGAGGACATGGCCAACATGACCTACCTGAACGACGCCTCTGTGCTGGCGACCCTCAGGGACCGTTATGCTAATGGAATGATCTACGTAAGTGTATTATCATCAGCCAAGAGTCACGGAGGTTAAGTCGTGAAATTGTTCAATCTTTATAAAAAGTGTGCTTTTCAACCACCAATACTAACCGTTACACTGGTAGGTCGAATGCGTGCCAGCGAGAATGCCGTAATGAGATCTATAATGCGATTCAACAAACGATGCGCTGCAAAAAAAAAACTCACTTTGCATGGTTGGGAGTGGAGAGATGTTTCGTGTAAGCTTGTCACCCAGATGTAATCAGAGACACGAAAAGCATATCTGATGCCAGTCATCCAGTCAACATGTAGAATGGCCTTCTGTATAGAGTACCGACTGTAGAAGCTCAGTTGATGAAATCCGATATTCGCTCCGACTGCTAACTCCTGCATACCTGAATAAAACATTCGAAACGGAATACATTAGTTGAGATGTTAAGTAAGTTTTTTGTCGCCCCCCCCCCCCTCCAACCCCCTTCTAATACTACAACCCCCTTCTAATACTCCAGACCTACTCCGGGTTGTTCTGCGTCGTGATCAACCCCTTCAGGCGCCTTCCTCTCTACACGGAGGAAGTTGTTGGCATGTATCGTGGCAAGAGGCGTCAGGAAATGCCGCCTCACTTGTTCTCTGTGGCTGACAATGCCTACCAGAACATGCTGATCGGTGAGTTTACTAACAACGCAACATCACAATAGAAACTGGCTAGATAGCCCAACCAAAAAAAAATAGACCATTATCAATGGGAATGGGCAACAAATATAGTGCAATACTCTTGTTGCATTTTAAAGAGGTATAAATATGAAGAAGACACTGTACCGTTCTATACCCTTATATTGTGGCTTGACAGAAGCAAGTAGCAACAACCTACATACCAATAACCAATCTGTACTGTTTCCAACTACACGTAGATGTCATCAAGGCTGTTGGCCGCAAAGTGCGAAATGTCTCGTGTTTCATAAAAACGATGAACATAAATTTCGGCCTGACAATTTTATCTCTTCTCACCTACAGACAAGGTGAATCAGTCTATGTTGATCACGTGAGTATTGTCTTTGTTCTTACGAATTACGTATTAGAGGAAAATAGTATCAAAGGTTTGTCATTATCTTTTGATAGGTAGGAGGAACTATGATCTCAAGTAAACTTCTGAA